AAACATTTGCTTCTTCCCTCTGGTCCTCAGGGATCTCATCTGCTTCCATACGATGACTCAGCATCTTACCCGCTGTGTCCAGGTCACCACCGCATGGGATGCGAGACTGTAAGCAAAGGCCTAGGGGCTGTTTACTGACTTGGCCTGGAAGCCACACTTTACTTCCCCTTGGTTCTGTGGTCAGTTCTAGTCACATGACCCTACCCACCTGTAAGGGGGCTGGGAAGTGGGAGGGAAGACATGGATATTCAGTGAGCATCCAATATCTCAGCCACATCCATTCTTTACACAAAACTCCCCGAGTCATTATCCCGCAGAACTGAGAAACAGTTTCCACACAGTTGACAGATGAGCCGTAGAGGGTAGATTTGCAGATGATGGGCTCTTTTTCTGGGCATGATTTTGAAATGAAAAGAATATAGTTAGTCCCCCTCTCTGTAGGTCAGAGGATTTCATTATGGACTTTGGGGCATGTCCATAATTCTTCCATCTCTTTTATAGCCCAGGAAAACGTCACCTCATACTGCAGGTGACAAGGTCTGCTTTTCCACTCTGGTAAAAACAGATGAAAGAAAACTCTAGATTGTAGAATAAGTAAGTTGGTTTTAAATCTCTAAAAATTTAATCTCTAGAATTCCCTGCTTTGTGAATGTATGCCTTTGTCCATGGGGATCCTGTTATAATAAATATAATTAATTGTGTCTAAAATGTTAGGAAACCATTTGCTTTCTCTAGATTTACTTTTCATTACTGGATAGCAAGCATCAAATTTTGTGTGTGTGTTTCTTCTACCATTGGAGCTTTTATTAAGTGTCGTACCATCTTATTTATTTCTAATTCAGCCGTAGGTTTCTATTGCCTGCTAAGTGCGCTCTGATTTTGTCCTGGCTTGCTCAGGCACATGCTCCAATAAACAACAGCAGTACAATTAGCACTACACCCAGGAAAGAAGCATATTGAAATACGATAATTTATTCCACTTGCTAATAAAAAAAAAGTTTATTCCTGGGTATCATTTTCCAGATCAACATTGCTTTTATTATTTCTAATCCTTTACTTCCTAGTGATGATTCATTCACTCTATCATAAATCACCTGATTCCAATTCAGTGGCATGAACTCTTCCCTTTGTTTTTGCATTTATAGGTGATAGTACTTGGAATGTTGGCAGCTTCATTATGGAGTCCAAGGGCATGATTACTTAAAATTGGAAAACACGATGCTTAGCTGGAGCTTCTGATGGAGCACCAATTTGGAGGACACGCAGTAATGCAACCTTGATCACAGGCACAGCCACTAATCGGGAGCTGGGAGGGAAATTCTGCCTTGCAGCCACTCATTGTCCAGAGGAAAGAGCTTCCTGTTAGAAGGAAGGCTGCGTGTGCAGGGTGTGAAAGGCTAAGCCCACCCTCTCCCGTCACCCTTTCAATGCCCTGCACCAGGAGTTTTAGGACTCTCCCTGTTGACATTCCTTTAAGGTATTTTTTGAACAGTGCTGAAAGACAGCCAGGATCCCGGCCCCTGTGGAGCACAGGCTGTAATGGGGAACAGGAGGAAACTCAGTTACAAGATGGTGACAGGGGGATGCAGAATCCCATGGAGCCCAAGGCAGAGGCACCTATTTCCCACTTGCTGAGAGCAGACTTTTCCTACTGGAGGAAGCACGGCGAAGCTGAGAGCTGAAGAATGAGAAGCAGGCAGGTGGAACAGAATAGGAGGGTGAGTGTGTGAAGTGCATGGAACAGCAAGTACAAAGGTCTAGATCAGTGGTTCTCAACCTTGGCTGCATTAGAATCACCTGGGAATCTTGTTAAAATCCTGATTTCTGGGCCTCATCCTCTGGAAATTCTGTTTCTTTGTTACTAATGTTGTGGCCCCACCCCATAACATAGAAACAGAATTTCTGGAGGATGAGGCCCAGAAATCAGGATTTTAAAAAGATTCCCAGGTGATTCTAATGTGCAGCCAAGGTTAAGAACCACTGGTCTAGATGCAAGGGCGAGACATGGACATGGTGAATGAACAGAAAAATCAATTTGGTTGGGTTCCATGCCATTCATTGTCATATGCCCGTCATGCAGTGGTTTCCTTTGATGTGGCTTGCACGTTTCTGTCTGGATATGTCTGAGACAAAATTAGCAGAAGATAGATAGAAGGCGCCGTACCTGAGGCCTGGTCCACCACGAAGGTCAGGGACCTTGACCAGGAGAACAGCCACGACGACTCTCCCAGAGGCATCCTCTTACCTGGAAGGAGGCTGCCAGGTGACGGAATTCACACAGGCTACAAAGTCAGAGGAAAGGCTTGGATGGCACCTGCAGCTTGGGAGACAAATTCATCCAGTGTTAGAAACAGCACAGTACAGTCCTGGCATTGGGTGAAGCGGATGTGAAAACTGAACCCCACAGACTAACTGATTTGATTTGCATAATAAAGAGCAGGTGACGGGGAAGGGAAAGTGGGGCAGAATAAGGTCTGTGCACTTGGTGTGTTTGGGGTGGAAGCTGAGAGAAGGAGAGAGTTTGAGGGAAAGCTGGCATCACGTGCAGAATAGTGGGAGGGGCAGCAACGTTTGCTGTGTGTTAAAAATTCATCTTCCCCACCTTGGCCAGTGTGGCTCGGCTGGAGTATCGTCTAGACCAGGGGTGGGCAAACTTTTTGACTCGAGGGCCACAATGGGTTCTTAAACTGGACCGGAGGGCCGGAACAAAAGCATGGATGGAGTGTTTGTGTGAACTAATATAAATTCAAAGTAAACATCATTACATAAAAGGGTACGGTCTTTTTTTTTTTTTTTTAGTTTTATTCATTTCAAACGGGCCGGATTCGGCCCGCGGGCTGTAGTTTGCCCACGGCTGGTCTAGACACTGAAAGGTTGCAGGTTCAATCCACAATTAGGGCACATGCCCAGGTTGCAGGTTTGATCCCTGGTCAGGGTGCATATTGGAGACAATCAATCAATGTTTCTCTCACATTGATGTTTCTCTCTCTCTACTTCTCCCTTCCCCTCTTTCTAAAAAAAAAAAAAAAAAAATTAATCTCCTCCTTTAGCATTTCCTTGGAGACAGTACAGATTTGAAATACTTAGTACATAAACATTTATAGCATTTTTGGTTCCCTAATGGTGTTTCTTTGAATATACTACTTGACTCAGACGAGGCCAATTGGAGTCATAGGTTTTGGGGGGTAGTGGAAACTTTCCTTTGAGATGCTAGCTCTAGGTAGAATGTAAACAACTCTATTTTTAAAAAAATTATCTTTATTGTTGAAAGTATTACAAATGATCCTTTTATCCTCCCATTGACCCCCTCACCCTGCTCCTGACTCACCACCACACCCCCCCCCCCCCACCCCCCCGGAAATACAGGCCTTCACCACTGTTGTCTGTGTCCATGGGTTATGCATATATGCATGTAAGTTTTTTGGTTGATCTCTTCCCACCCCCTGCTTCCCTCTGAGATTCAGTCTGCTCCATGCTTCCATACCTCTGGATCTATTCTGGTTGTCAGTTTATTGTGCTCATTAGATTCCACATATGAGTGAGATCATGTGATACTTGTCTTTCTCTGACTGGCTTATTTCACTTAGCGTAATACTCTCCAGGTCCCTCCATGCTGTCTCAAAGGTTAAGAGATCCTTCTTTTTTACAGTTGCATAGTATTCCACTATGTAAATGTGTTTTTTAATCCACTTATCTACTGATGGGCACTTGGGCTGTTTGCTCATCTTAGCTATTGCAAATAATGCTACTAGGGTTGCATATAAACTTTCTGATTGATGTTTCAGGTTTCTTAGAATATATTCCTAGAAGTGGGATCACTGGGTCAAATGGCAGTTCCATTTTTTAATTTTTTTGAGGAAACTCCATACTGTTTTCCATAATGGCTGCATCAGTCTGCATTCCCACCAGCAGTGCATGAGGGCTCCCTTTTCTCCACATCTTCACCAGCACATGTAGTCTGTTGATTTATTGATTGTAGCCATTCTGGCAGGTGTGAGGTGCTACCTCATTGATGTTTCTAGCTCTCTCTCCCTCTCCATTCCTCTCTCTGAAATCAATAAAAACATATTTAAAAATTAAGACAACATAAAATTTTATCATTTTAATGTACAGGTCAATAGTGTTAAGTACATTCACATTGTTGTGCACTCAATTTTCATAATTTTTATCTTGAAAAAAAATTCTATACCCATTACACAATTCCCCATTCGGCTCTCCCCCCAGCCCTGGACAACCACCATTCAACCTCTCCTATGAATTTGGCTATTCTAGGTGCCTCATATAAACGAAATTACACAGTATTTGTCTCTTTGTGACTGGCTTAATTCATGTATCTTTAGGTCCTCAAGGTTCATCCATTGTATGTATATATCACATTTTATTTATCTATCCATCCACTGATGGCTATTAAGTTTGCTTCCATTTTTTTAGCTAATTGTGAATAACGCTGATATGAACATGGGTGTACAAGTATCTTTTTGAGGCCGTGCTTTCAATTATTTGAATATATATCCAGAGGTAGACTTGCTGGATCATATAGCAATTCTATTTACAGATGTTGAGGAACGCCGTGTTTTCTATAGAGGCTGTGCCACTTTATATTCCCACCCAAAGTGTGCGAGGGTTCCCATTTTGTTCACATCCTCGCCCACACTTGTTATTTTCTAGCTGCTGTCTCTTTAACTAGTCATCATCCTAATTGGTGTGACGTATGGAGACGCTTTGGTTCTCACAACTCAGGGGGAGGGGGCTCCTGGCATCTGCGGGTGGCGGTCAGAGACGTTATTAAACATCCCACAAAGCACAGGACAGTCCTCTGCCACAGAGAGCTGCCCCCAAAGTCGAAAAGGCTGAGGAGGACACATTCTGATGTACACAGTCAGCTCATCTTTCATAGTGAATCTCACCCGGACATGTGCCGTTTCTCCCTTTTCTGTTGAGATGCTCAAAGGCAAAGTGTTTCAAAAATCTGGAAAGCGAGGGAGAAATGGCAACATTTCTTTTATTCAAATTTTATTGGAAGTTTACAAATGTATTACAGACATCAGTAAAACAGCATATCCATTGTACAGGATCTCAAGCAAAGTGTTCACCACAGTCTCTGGCAGAGCCTGCACCAAAGGCCTTCCTAACAACAGCGCGACGCTCACGCACAGCACACGGGCCTGCCTCGCCTCCTCAGGCCCCCGGGGCTTCGTCTATACTTGGAATTAAAGCAGGAGATGGGCAAAGCGATCCTGTGCGGGAAAGAATGTTTTAGGAGAGGGAAGATGCCCAAGTCCTAATTTGCTAAGGAAAATGGAGGACTTGTAGGCCACAGAGTGTGAAGTCAGGGCCCAGAAATAGAACCAAAATGTTTTATGGGAAAATATGGAAATCATCAGAAACAGACCTTACTGGTGAGTAACTCTGTCCGAAAAATTTATTAAAGCTTGGTCAGTGACTTTTGAACATCAATGGCCAAATACCCAGTAGGGTGAAGGGATGTCTCAGAAAACTCTCAGGATAGGCAATTTTTTTTTCCTTTCTTATGGGTTCATCATATCAGAATCACAGAAATGTTTTCCCGACACTATGGGAGCTTCTCCCTCCTTTGTATTCCCTTTGAGGAAAGCTAGTTTTGTCAGCAGGAAGTCAGCCTATAAAACAGTATAGCTCCCAACAGTGAGTCATGTTTTATGAGTCTTGTGTTGACTGGGCTACTCTTATGAGAAAATGGAAAAAGAATCAAATCCTTTCTTGATCCTGACCATGGTGACTGCTTCCAAGTGGTCGGACAATCAAGTGTTCCTATCTGCCAGGTCCCAGAGGGACCAACCACTGGGGACAAGGCAAAACTCCCTTCATTTCCACTTCTCTAGTGCTTAGCGAGGTATATATACCTCCAAAGGGGGCATGGGACTGCCTTCCAAATTGGCAGACGCGGCCTGGCTGAGCTACACCTGGAATGCTCCGCTTCTGTAAGGCGCCCGGCTGCATGTGGGTGGGAAGACCTGCTGTCCAGGGCCCACGTCAAAGCCCTGAAGGTGCTAAACAGTTGCTAACAGCAACTCTTCTGGCCTGAAATATTCAGATAGCTGGTGCCATCTCCTACTTCCCTTTTTATAGATTCTCCTTCTTAGGTGTTAGCATCTGGTTTCTGTTAGAAACACACAAAGAGCACTTCTCCTTGGAAGTTAAATATTTGTGTTATCTCTCGTTAGAAGGTGGGTTAGATGAAGGCAAGGATGAACTCTTATCTGACCTCTGCAGGAGGACCAACGGGGGCTGACTATGATGCTTGTCCAAGAACACGAGAAGGGAAAAGAAAGCCAGAGAGATTTGTCTTCATTTCGCCTAAAGAAGTCAGCTCCTGTTAGCATCCACAATCTGAGGGCATGGGAATTGGACTCTCACAATTATTTATGAATGATGTCTCCTAAGTGGCTGTTTTTGCCTAATGATAAAGAAGCCCAGAGTAGAAAGACAGGAGTCAGTTCATAAATAAGTTTTGTTATCAGACAAATAAGATCAATTCTGACCAACTGGTTCTGGCTGTCTGGAGTGTCATGGATTTTTGAGGCTGTATCCATGTTCTCTAGAAAGTACACAGTGCGCATTGGTTATAGCTGCCCAGGTGGCAGAGTATATGCTATGTATATGCCATCACTGCCCCACCTGAACTCCACCATGGCTAGTGGGACCCCAGAAGCAGGAAGCTGCTGCAGGAGAAGGAAGAGGAATCTTGATGCAGGGCAAGAGCTTCCTAACAAAAGGAGGATGAGAAAGAGCAGCCTCAGGTCCCGCAGTCGATGTACAAAACTGCTCGGCCACTGAGCTGGCTGCGGTGGAAAGGGAGGACTAGAGAACACAAGATGAATATGGAGAGAAGCTGTGGAACTGACAGCACTGGGGATTCTCCATTTGTGAACATGTGCCAAACCAAGAAGCACAGTTCTGGTTTCCCTCAGCTCACCACCTTCACCCTTGGTGGAGATCCCAGAACTATATGCCAGAAGGAGGGGTACCTGAATGCCACGCTCAACGCCACCAGCCTGCTAAGAAGCCTGTCCACAGTATCACGGGTGGTGCATTGGCAGGGCCATCCAGGACACTGTCAGTGACTTCCACTTGGGAGGGAGCCAGTTGTGATGCTGCCGAATTGACCAGCAAGCAGGACATGAACTGTACCCTAATGCTGCCATGTTAACGTAAAGACAAGAAGAGGACTAATATGGGGAGAGGTAGGAAAACAAACAAACAAAACCCTAAGGCATGAGAGCAGAGGGGAAACTGGGAAAAGATTACTTTGATAGAAACAGTCTATTCAAGATGAAATGATCTAAAGAGGTGAGCGTAGGCCTCACTCACAGGGAAACTTGACCAAGAAGAGATAGGAGTTATGATGGAGGAATCAGCTAAGAACCCTAAGCTCTTGCCTCAGAAAAGAATGCACTGAATTTTGGGGAGTGGGATTCTGGGATGTTGCATGTAAGTTGTCACCAACAGGTGGAACTCCCAGGACGACGACACCCTGCTCTCTCTGGGCCTTCACCATCATGGCGGGGATGTAGCCATCCTCCTCGGCATTCGCTGTAAGGCGCCCGCTGCATGTGCGTGGGAAGACCTCTGCCAGCTGGAACCGATGGAGGGGACCTCGCCTGCCGACAGTCTGACCCTGAGGCTTCTATCTATTACACATCAAGCTCTGAGCAGTTCTGCTGCCGGGTGCTCTCTGGGCAACTAGATGGCAAATAGCTCATTCCTTCAATTCCTCTGGTCACTAGTTATGTGTCAGTTCCTAGGCCACCTTCTTTCTGCTGAAGGGGTTAAGCCTCATCTGGGAAATGCAAGAGGTGCTCTGAGGAGGATGGAGGTAGAAGGCAACGTTTTCCAGGAGAATTTCCTTCCCTGGGTCCCGGGCCACAGAGGACAGACTTTGTGTCCAGCTTTCTGCTAGGTTAAGTCATCTCCTTTTTCCCCTTTTCCCAAAACGCCTTTTTATTCTCATCAACCAAGGAACTCGAAAATCCCAATTGGACTTGCCCAATTTCTACCAGAAACCTGCCACTTTAGTCATGTGATGTTGCACATTATTTCTTAAAATCAGTTTGCCAAGCAGTTTACAGACTTACTATACAAACGTAATAGAGTAATTCTCCGAGGCTCGGATACTGAAGGAAGCATTTAGATATGAAGATAGCATGCGGAAAACAGCCACAACCAACACTTGTATTGCTTTTTAAAAAAATCAGTGACAATGACGAATGTCATATTAATACCTGAAAAGCAAATTATTTTAATACATCCTGAATGGAGCGCCATTTCGACATCCCGTACAGCCTTCCTCTCCCCAGGCCCATGTGGCATGGGGTCTGAAAGCCGTGTTTCACATCCTCTCCATGAAAAATACTAGAAAATATTAACTACTGTATTGAAAAGAGACCACCTCACCTCACCATGGCAGAGAGCCACTGAGATATACCGTGTAGCACATGGACAGAACGTCTCACTAAAGTGGGTCCTGCGACGGGTTAGTTCAACCGCCACAATCCATTAAGGGGAGGAGGAGAATGGGGGGGAAAGCAAGCGCTTCATGTTTAACTGAAGCAAGGTAGGGAGTTTTATTGTACTATAAACAATACAACCGTGAAATGTCTTCTTGAAGCAAATTCACTTCTGAGCCCATTTTCAGTCTGACCAAGGGTCCCCTAAGTTCACAATGGAGATCCTCCTTTCAACAACATCTGCTTTTCAAGGCCTTTACACTGATGCCTCCTGAGCAGCTCAACCTTCCTGGGTGACCCAGAGACTCTGGATAGGGAGGGCGTTAAACGGAATGACTTCCTCAAGCACTGGGGGCTCATCAAGCTGGTCGTCACCGCTCCTCTACTTCATTTCCAGAAGTTCTTCTTCGCCTTGGGCTTCCTTCCTATTCTCCGTCAGCTCTACCACCCTTGCCCCGCTTTCTGTTTTCAAATCACCTCATTCCTTCTCCACGCATGACGTACAACCTAGGACCCACCGCCTCTCCCAGAGCCCCGTCGGAACCCGTCTGCCCCTATGTTCTAAGGCCCAAGTTCATTTGCACTGAGGACAACCGGTTGTCAGGCTAAGGCAGCTGTTCCATCTGCCTTGGCAAAGGAAAGCGGGTAATACAGTCCAGGAAACATGAGCACCGGAAAATAACGCCACATTCAAAACAACATCATGCTGACGTCACACAACGGCACCACTCACAGTCACTGTGTTTTCCCCAAGAAAGAGATCAATCGTGAGCAGCTTCAAGCTTCCCGGCAGGGACGGCGCTTCTCGCGGAACTTGACTGACACGGATTGGTTTCTCTGATGGGCAAAGGTTATGTTCGCTATTAAATAAACGACTACCACTTCGTAGAGAATACATCCTACTGAGGGTGGGAGTGGACTTAAGGACGGCTCCTGAAGATGGACTAGAGCGTAAAAGGCTTTGGATAGAATCATTGTTATTTTTTCGCCACAAAAAGCCAAATTGAATAAACGCCTTTGAAAAAAGTCTCACTGACATGTAACAAATTTGTATAGAAAAAAGAAAAAGGGGGTGGTCCTGGCCACTCGGAATACTACACAAAGACGATGCGGATGGCATGCGGGTTGCGCCGAGTCCTACCATATAGAAATTCCTTTGATATTACAAAATACAAAAATATTTTATCAGAACTCTCATTTACATTGCATTTACAATGGACATGTAAATAACTTAGTCTTGGGTCCTGGCTAATAAACAAATTACTTACTGGAAAAGGGGTCCTAAAAGGAAGAGAACCAGAGAGGATACAAGCGGGCAAGGAAGCAATTTGCCATCTGATGAGTGGCAACTGCACACGCCGAGGTGCCCAACCCCGGCCGCCACGCCATCTAGAGCGTTTCCAAAGTGAAATGTGCAAATCATAGTCAACATGCCGAGAACTGGGGCTACCAGCCGAGCCAACCTGTAACCTCGCCTTCCTCCACCAGAGCACGCCCCATCTCCTCCCCCAGGAACCACCCCCAAAAGCGCTTTCAAAGAAAAAACAGTGCAAGTTTTTGAATTTACATTCTCAGCTCCCATCTTCCCCGACCCCCTGACCCCGACCGGGTTAAGAAATGATACAGTTCTTGCTCTTCTGTCTTTTCCTGCTGTGCAGCTGCCCCCGGCCGCCCAGCGTGGACGACTTGGGGAGGCCGTAGGAGCTGTACTTGTGCAGAAGCTCGTCGCTCGTGACGTAGCGCAGGCGGGCGGGCTGGGGGATGGGCTCCCCCAGGAAGTAGCCCTCATTGTCAGACTCGGAGGAGGAGGAGCAGGTGGAGCACCAGTCGTACTCGGCGAAGTAGGGTCCCCAGCGCTCCCCAAAGGCGTTCTGCAAGGCCAGGTCCGACACCGTCCGGGGGCACTGGCCGTACAGGTCCCGGCGGGAGCCCGGGCCCAGGCTCTCCTGGAAGCTGCGCTGGCGCAGGAACTGGTCGTAGTCCTCGCGGGCCCGGAGCGGCGGCCGCTCCTTCAGGCGGGACACGGCCTCGCGCTCGCTGGCCAGGTGCAGGGCGTTGTCGGAGCGCGAGCGGCGCGACCGCCGCGACCGGTGCGGGCGGAAGTGGCGCGGGTCGTCGCGGGACGCGCTCCGCCTCCGCGTGCGCTCGCTCATGGGCTGGATCCGCGCGCCGTCCGGCCCCGGCAGCTGGCTGCCCGCCACGCCGGGCTCGAAGTCGAAGCTCTGATGCATCCGGCCCCGGGCGGGCCGGTCCCGGTAGCCGAGCGGGGCGCCGAGCTGGTGCAGGCCGCCCTCCATGTCCTGGTACTGCTGCGCCGACAGCAGGCTGCGCACCGACTCGGCGCTGCGGAACTGCACGGACGAGTTGAGCGTGCCCATGGTGCTCAGCTTCTCCGACACGTTCATGCCCGAGTCCTTGCTGAGGTCGGGCATGGAGAACCGCGACAGGTGCTCCTGGCGCTTGGCGCCGCCGTCCGCGGAGAGGCCTGCGGGGAGAGGACAGGGCCCTGGAGGTTAATACGGGCGGGAAAGGGGCCACGGTGGCTGGGGGGCATCTGAGTGCTCATCACCCAGGGTCGCTGCGTGTGGCCGTGCAGAGGACACCTCTGTGCCGGGAAAGGGCGCAGGACTCTCTCCACCCGCCGAGAGCAAGGCCCGCCTAGGGGCCCCGGCTGAGGTGCATCCGCAGACACGCTTGACCGGTTTGATTTCCTGCAGAGGCTCATCAAAGCTACCAGGAGCCCCTTGGGCATCTGGTGTGCGCTGCTGCTCCGTTTAGAATTTCACTCTCCACAGCGCTCCCAGGGCCTCTGAGAGCCCAGTGGTCAGACAGCCACCGAGGGACGGTATTTTGGCCCAGGAACCTTTAGAGGCGGGCCATGCCCACGCACTTCCTGGCAAAAACCGAGCCTGGACTCTAGTCCCATGATGCTGGCCAGCTCAGTCCCCTGCCAGCTTCCAGCAGTTCCCTCATCTGCCTGATGTCCCTCACATGTCTTGAACGCCTCCCTGGGTGTAGACAGAGGGACATGCACTTCCCCAGGCTGTTTGGTAAATGAGTGATCCAGGTTCTAAAGGGGTCCCCCTCAGCCTGAAGGTGTGAGTGGGACTCGGGGACAGTCCTTCCCCCGGGAGGCACTTTTAAAACAAAGCAGTGACCCTCAAGCTCTCTAACAGCAGGGGCTCCTAGCAGTGGACCTGCATCCCCTAAGTGCTGTCGCTGGTATTACTGACATAAAAACCATTTTGAAGGTCATGGGAGATTCCTGACTCAGTCACTTCCATTCTGCCCATCATAAAGCAGCAATCTAAAGAGAAACTTAAGAATGGACCAGGTGGCAAAATCCCATCATATCTCACTCATTATCTATCTATCAATCTATCTATCTATCTATTGACTTCAGAGAGGGAGAGATAGAAACATCAATGCTGAGAGGGAATCATTGATTGGCTGCCTCCTGCACGCTCCCTACTGGGGATTAAGCCCACAACCTGGGCATGTGCCCTGACCAGGAATCGAACCGTGACCTCCTGGTTCATAGGTTGATGCTAAACCATTGAGCCACGCTGGCTGGGCTCATTATCTATCTATTGAAAGGATCAGCTCAGCAATTATGCCTTTTCTGGTCACAGATAACATGTCTTTGGATTGCTAAGGCCCATTATGACCCTACCATGATTACTCCTCCTCATTTACTGGGGCCAACAACTTGCTTCTGCTCCCTGATAAATGAATATTATGAGCACTTTGAAAAACTGCTTATCAGTATCTACTAAAGCTACACACACACACACACACACACACATTGTGAAAAGGCTGCTTTGAATGTGTGCTTTTTTATGGACTTACTCATTTCTGTTGGGTATATGAGATTCTATGACTTTCCATCACCACTTCTGATTACGTACCCAACAGAAACCCATTCATGGGTCCAAAAAAATGCACAAGGGTATTCAGAGAAGCTTTCTTTAGAAGAGCCCAGAACAAGAAACTACTCAATCTTTCATTAGCAGGAAAAGGATAAATAAATTGTGGTACTTTCTAGCCTTCCCACTAAAAGGGGCTAGAACTCTGGAGAAATGGCCAATTCTAGGGCAGGAGAAGGGAAGGGAAGAGATGAGTCTGGAACATCATGTTATGCCAAACAGTAAGGAAGTGTTAGAGATAAAAAGGGATGGGAGTTTGTCAGAAGGACACAGGGCCAACTTCAAGGGTTCCCACTAGCCAAAGCTGAGCAACTTGAGCATTGTAACACTGAAATCAGTAATGACTTAGAAACCACTGAACAAACAGGAACGCATGAGTCCACACTGACAACAGGTAAAAGCATCAATGAAGGAAAGGGGGAAGGAGTGGGCTCTTGTATACAGAACGCTCCGAGGGAGTGCAGACAGGAGTGCTGGGTTTGTAACCATCCCCTGTAAAGGCTGGTTCATGCAACAGAAAGTATGCTACGTTTCGGGGGTGAATTTGATGGGGGTGGCAGATTATTTCCGTGTTAGTAAGTGTCTCTCCCCCCACCCCCCATATTGCTTATTACCTGTAAGGGGAACTTTAGTAACTATGCAGTGGGGATCAAACTTAACATCACTGACGAGGTGCAACTGGACTTCATGTGCCTCTGAATAGGATGTTCTAAGAGGGACACACTATGACTTACGCAGTGTTCCAGTCAAGAATACATATCCTGGATGAATTCAGAAGTACGATTAGACAAACATCCAAAGGAGGAATGTTCTATTAAGAAGAAAATAGATTGTATTCTTTACAAAATTCAGCATCAGAAAGACTAAGAAAGGTTTTCTAGGCCGAAGGATACTAAGGAACCATGGCAGACACTGCTTGAGCCTGGACTGGAAACTGTTCTGCAGCAAAGATATATGCTATAAAGGATGACTGCTGATCAACTGACAAAAACTGGGACACGGGCAATGATAAGTGTATTGTGGTACACTAATTGTGGTTAGTGGATAGTTATGATAGTGTTGGAGACGATCCTTATTGTTGGGAAATACACATGGAAGTCACAGTGGCAAATGGCCAAGGTGAATGCAACTTGCTCTCAAACAGTCCAAAAATAAATTGCGTGTGGGCAAGAGAGAGAAAATGATGTTTAAAATGGGGCAAAATATTAACAATAGGTGACTCTAGGTAAAGAACACACTGTGTCTATTATTTGTTCAATTTCTGCAACTTTTCACTAAGTTCAAAATTATCTATGTATATATATAAAAGCCAAGCAACCTGAACAACCAGAATGACCCGTCACTCTGCTGCACACTGCGGCCAGCCAACCGGCCCTATTGGGAGCAGGGACAGCTGGCCAACCTCCCACAGCCCCTTCCCCCGGCTGGCCCAGTCCCGATTGGGGCAGGTGGTCGGACCCTACCTGTGCACGAATTCGTGCTTCGGGCCTCTAGTTTACAAATAAAACGTTTCTTTAAAATTGCGGTATATTTATGTGACACAGTGGTTTTCAATTCCAGGGGAAATTACGGGGCTTGGGAGGTGCTACTTGCCCCTAGTGGGTAGACGCTAGAGAAATGCTGCTAAATACACTGCACAGGGCAGTCCCCACAAGAAAGAATTATCCAGCTCACAATGTCAGTAATGCCACAGCTGAGAAACCATGACACGAGGGGATACTGCACATCAATAGAATGAATGACTACACCCAAATATTGATGAATCCCACAGGAATTGAGACAAAAAAAAGAGAACACAGTGTATGATTCCATTTATATGAAGTTCAAGAACAGGCTAAGGCTATCTATGGTGACAGAGGTCAGAATAGTGGGCGGGGGAAATAAGGGGAACCCCAAGGGCACTGAAAATGTTCTGTATTTAGATCTGGGTGGTGGTTATAAAAGGACAGGCATATGTAAAATTTTTTGAGGTGTAATTTCAACACTTGTTCGCTTTACCTTATGTAAGTTATACTTAAAGCAATGCTCTCATTAAAGAGCCACATTTAAATGTCGGATATGTCTGTTAAGAAAGTATTATGGCCCGCCGAAACCGGTTTGGCTTGGTGGATAGAGCGTCGGCCTGCGGACTGAAGGGTCCCAGGTTCAATTCCGGTCAAGGGCATGTACCTGGGTTGCGGGCACGTCCCCAGTGGGAGATGTGCAGGAGGCAGCTTATCGATGTTTCTCTCTCATCGATGTTTCTAACTCTCTGTCTCTCTCCCTTCCTCTCTGTAAAAAATCAATAAAATACATTAAAAAAAATCTAAAAAAAAAAAAAAAAAAGAAAGAAAGTATTATGGCCCAGCCAGTGTGGCTCAGAGGTTGAGTGTCAACCCAGGAACCAGGAGGTCACGGTTCCATTCCTGGTTAGAGCACATGCCCGGGTTGCAGGCTCAATCACACAGTAGGGGACAAGCAGGAGGCAGCTGATCCAAGTTTCTCTCTCATCACTGGTGTTTCTGTCTCTCTGTCTGAAATCAATAACATATTAAAACAAGAAAGTATTCTGACAAACACACCGTCCAGCCATCCATCTATTTTTTATTTCATTACTGGGGTAACTGTCAGGCAAGGGGAGTTGAGTCCGCCAACTCCTGCTTCCCCAGCTGCTTAGCTCTGACGTACACATCACCATCGCTCCCAGAACCTTCCCCATCTGAAGGCGGAGAGAAGAGGTAGAAACCTGAGATGATAATGAGTTCTGTGAGCGGATCAACTTCAGTAAGGAGGGAAAATCTTCAAAGATCGCATATAGGAGCAAAAGCTCTACAGGCAGGCGCACTGATCTTTGCGCAGCTGTCTACTCACGCCCTGGAGTGGAATTAGGCTCAGCATTAACAATCTAGCAAATACTACACATTCCCAGACATGCTGTTCTCCTGAACCCGTCTTCTATGCACTCTGAAGTCAAGCACTTGTGAGAACGTCCTGCGGCTGCAGAGATTCAGGTCTCACTGAGGAGGTAATGGTGGAGACAGGCAGCGTCAGTTCCCCTGGAGGGTGCTGCCCTCCCCTCTATGGGCCTGTGTCCTGGGACTTGAGGATGCCCCTAGCCCACCCGCTCTGGAAGAACAGGGGGGGCCGTGTGCAAGGCCAGGGCCCACTCAGTGTTACCTACACCTAAGCTCTTCCCCCAGCGGTTGTGTGGTGGGATTGGAAATGCTACCTGCTCTGTCTGTTCTTATTTATAAACTCAGAACTTTTTCCAGGGGCTTCTTGCACGCAGGGCATGAATAAAATGGCCGATAGACGAGCAATAATTGTGTACTTGCTTCTCAACAGGGTGGCTCTGTGGCAAAACCCAGAGTCCTTATGCGGAACGCAAGGCCCTCTGTCTCCCCACAACCACTGGCTAAATGGTGCTCCTCGTTGCCCCTGTTCAGCCTCACTTACACTCTCCCTCCTCCTCCAGCAGACCTGCAAGCCCACTCCAGCCCCTTTGAAAACTCTCCCTTTTGCAAAGCTGACTTCCTCTAATCAAGGCCTCAGGTAAATGTCACCTCTTCCATGGTGCCTG